ACAAAATCTATTCGCAGCACTATTCTGTCTCATCTTGTGAAACAGAACACAAGATTGACGTTAATCATGCTTTCAGGGTAATTTTTCGCATACCTGCGAACTTCACTTTTGCCTTAAGAGTTCGGCTACTAAATACTACTGAGGCTGGCTGTTGGGATTCATATTAATAAGCCTAATTTATGCATCCAAAAGAAGTTAGTTCAGTCATTATCCTTACCTTGGCCATCTAGGTTTGAATGATCCTGAATTTTTGTGGAATTTTCCTAATTTTAGTTGATATTCTATTTGCTACTATATCTTTATTATTATTATTATGATATAAGCATCTTTAATGAACTGTAATTCCATTGATCTTACTCTATAAATCGATATTATTTAAAAAACAATATTTTTATTGACTACTAATCTAGAATATTCTATGTAAATAAACACATGCATATAATTGTAGAGCCAGAAGAGGAAATTATCGAAAAGAATATTCTTTGCTCGATTATTTTGTGTTATATAGATATTTATAGAATTTTATGTACATTATTGTCAGCAGAGAAGCAACCTCTGCTGATTGGTTGTTTTCTTGCTCAAGGTTATTCTGTACTGCTTGTGACCGTTTCTCAGAAAGTTAAGCTATATGTCTGCAAATCATATTTGCACACGTTAAGTCTGCTGTGATTGGTTGTTGAGTTCCTCAAGGTTAATCCTTGTTGTTGACATTGATTCGGGACGTAAACATTGACTTAAATTGTTGTCTACAATTTTGGCTTGCAGACAGCTCTCACCACATACTAATGGTAAGAATTGTATAAGCAGTTCCTAAATGTTTATTGAAATCTATCATCGAGTTCAAGGGCATTACACAGGTGGATTGACACTATGACTTCGTTGAACACCATCCAACAACAGACTGGTGTCCATAATTTAGTTATCTAGATATTTGATCACAACATAAATAGCTTATTGATGAGAGAGACTTTAGGATCAGAATTGTACAATGAAAATACGAATTTCCCAATGAATATGAGTTAACTTGTGTAATATTGAGTAAAATTCAACGGGAGAAATTCGAAAGAGTTCATCACTTGCTTCACTTATCTGGCTAGGCGGCATCACGTTACAACTAAAGGCAACAGCACAGATGAAGAAGTCAAAGACAGAATCGGAAATGCAAGGTACACCTTCATCACTGTGAAACCAATTTGGAAATCTGATGCACCTCATAGCATAAAGGAAAAATTCAGATTTTAAAAATCAATGTTAAGGCAGTCAGTTCATTCGTATGAGTCAGGATTTAGGCTGCAAAAGTAGTGAGTCTACTGCAGACTTTTATCAACAGCTGCCTCCACTGACTCCAAAGTGAAGACCAAAACGGTCAGAAAGAACTAGGAGCAAGGAACTGAGGGAACAAACTAACCAAGAACCTATTACTGAGCATATATGGTGGAGAAAATAGAGATGGATAGGACATACGCCACTGAGGAGACAGTTGAGGGACACTGATCTTCAGGCATGAGTGGGAAACGATGAAGTTGGTGTGAGTCTCTGAGTGACAAGGAGGAGGAAATCGTGGGCCAACTGAAGAGGACCGTAGAGGGGGGGGACAAAGTGGAGATGCGCTTTTGAAGTCCTATGCTGCAATCGGAACCCAAGTGAACGTTTATTAGTAGGAATAAATAGATTGAGTAAGTATTCCTTTCTTCGTATTCCCGCTAATATCCAGTATGGTTAAGAGTCTTTGGTTAATGTGGGTCTCACCAAATATGATTTTTCGGGATCCTGTTAGTAACTGACACTAAAATAGAATCTATGGATTTGCGAATTCAAATTCTGCCTTCAAGTAAAGGTAAGCAAGTATCATTAGGTGACAGCCACTGTCCCTGGATTTCATCAGTTCGTAAAGTATAACACCTTCAGAAGTTAACATTCGAACATTAATAGACAGAAGACCAGTAGTTCAGCGAAGAGTCTCTTTTCGCCGGCCAATTCATTTTCATAGCTGTACAATCGCAAATGTATATGGTTGTTTTGTATGTGTGTGTACATTAAATTTGTCAAACGAAAGTTCAGATGAATTGGATGTTGATATAAGAGAGTAGTAACAAAAGTGATGAGTTGTCACAAACAATTGTTAAAGAAGAGTTACGTAATAACATGAATAGCTTGATGAAAGAGTTGTACTCAGGGTGGAGATGGAAACAAAATATACGGAATTACACAAGGGTTTTAAGTAGAAAAATAAGCAAAATAAACAAAAGTTAAGTCAAATCAACAGAGTTGTTACCATGAGAGTAGAAGTGGTTGAATAATTTTCTTTTGTATGCACAGTTCTGGTTTCTCCAACTGAATGGCTAGGGCTTCTGCGATGCAAAGAAGACGGAATCTTTGGAAGGTTGTTCTTCACTTTGTAGATTACTTTGAAGGAGGTGTTTGTTGAGATGGAATGACCAGTGATGACGAGGTGTTCGATTATTGCACTCCTTATGCAGCCATTACTTCCTTTCTGCAGCCAGGCTGGATAGTGTTCTTTGACCCTTTTTGACAGGATGCGCGTTGAACGACCGATGTACTTGGCTCCACAGCAACAGGTGAACTGATATATACACACAGAAGTGGTTAGGTGCGGGATCTTGTCCTTTGGACTTCTGCAGATCAGCGGGCGACTGGAGAACATCACTCTCAATGTTGCCGCAAAGAAAGTTCCTCTTAAAGAAGTTGAAATTCTCCTCCTAAGGACATCACTGATTAGGTCACCTTTGAAGTGGAGGTTCATATAAAGTATCTTTTTTGGCACGGATGGTGTCTCTTGCTTTTGGATTTTCTGTTTGATGTTTTGTTTACGAATCTTGATGGATAACCGTTTTGTATGAAGGTTTCTTTCAGGAAGTTTAGTTCTTCTTCCATGGTATCAGAGCTGCAGATGCGTCGGATGCGAGTAGCAAGAGATCTAATTAAGTTTCTTTTTCGACTGATTAGTACCCAGCTGTAGAAGCTTGTCAGTTGGCCGTTCCATGTGGGTTTTCTATGGATGGACATTTTTAAAGTTCCGTCAGCTCTCCTTGTAAGTTCAACATCAAGAAAAGGAATTTTAGATTAGTTTTCAATTTCAAGAGTGAACTTCGTAGCTGAATGGCATTTGTTGAATATTTGTAGTAACTGATTGAGATCGTGACCGTCATCACAGATGATAACAAAGATGCCATCCAAATATCTAACATGCAATTGGAAATTATCAATAGTTGATTTGAGCGGGCCATCCTCGAGGCTTGCCATAAAGCAGTCTGTTAATAATGGGCCCAGTGGAGATCCCATTGTGATTGTTGTTGTCTGTAAATAACATCGTTGAATGTGAATTGTGCATTGAGTGTACATCTCAGTAGTAGTTCTTTTAAGCAAGTCGTCGTTAATCCGATGTTCCGCTGATTTTCGTCTATATATTTACAAATGTGACAGACAGTTTCTGTGAGTGGAACGTTGGTAAATAGTGACTCAATGTCTAGAGAGAGCATATTTTTGTTCTTTACATTGATATCTTTAATATAATCGACGAATTGGAAGGTGTCACGAAGCAAATAGCGGCACAGCTGTTTTCGCACAGGTTCTAAAATGTCAGCTAGCCATTTCGCTATCGAATGGTACGGGGAACCTGACATATCCAAAATTGGACGCAGTGGGAGGTTGGCTTTATGTATCTTTGGTACGGCTTAATGTATCTTGGTATCATTGATCCTGTCGGTCGGATCTGATCATAGACTGATTAACGTTTCGGTTTGCATTCTTTTAAGGACATCGGTGAGTTGTTTTTCAATCTGAACTTACTAATTGTATTTTCGTTTGACAGATTTACTGTACACACACATACAAAACAACCATATATATTTGCGATTGTACAGCTATGAAAATGGATTCGCTGCCGAAAAGAGACTCTTTGCTGAACTTTTACTGGTCTTCTGTCTGTTAACCTTCAAAAGTGGCTGATTTTTTTAAATTCGCGCTCGTTGTCTGTTGTAGGGATCCAGCTAACCATTGAATGTGCCTGGAGTTTGTAATATACTTCAGAATGTGTTTATCAAAATTCAAATCACTTCATGTTGGTTTCATAAAATGTGGAAATTGCAGCCTGTTTTCCAGCCATATCTAATAATGTCTCCAACTATCAATTCAGACCACCCCTAACCCAGGGAGTTGTGATACACTAACAAACTTTGACCCAGTAACAACTGTCCTTCATCACATGACGTCACTTCATCCGCCACTCACCCATCACCTTCGTTAAAAAACTTAAAAGTTTGCTAAAAGCCATCAGAAGTCACGACTTCTCACCATAGCTTCGAGACATCCCCTCCCACCGGTAGCCATTAATGAGCTCAAGATTGGTAGCTAGTGGATCGATATCCTGTAGCTGTAGTAAGAATTTGAGACCACTAGGGTTCACCATTTCAGGATGAATTGGAGACTCGTCGAGGGCATTGATTGGCGGACAGCACTAAATCACAAGCTGATAAAATTAAAATTCAGGGATCACTGGATTCGTGAAGGTCCCGGGTACGATTGCTGATGAGGTCACGGGTGCGCGCTACTGAAGAGCTCCAAAGCTGAACGAAACAATTGGTCTCTCTAATTGATTTTGGTTCATGAAATTAAATTGTAACTATTTATGAGTTAATATTAATGTTAGAGTGTAGAATTAATCAATCTCTGTGATGATAAATTAGACAAAAAGCTCAAAAATATCTCACATTATTGATGTGAAATTATTGGACTATTTTTTAGTAGCACACTGAGGTAATTTATTTTGATAACAAATTTATCAATGCCTGATTCATCAGAATAAACACAAGAAAGACTAATCATGACGGCCTAATTTATTCTGCTAGACTAATAAGATTTTTATATCACGTGATACCTTTAAAATGAACCAATCAAAATACAGCTTTTGAAGGTCGCATAATGATTGGTTCACTGTGAGTAGTAAGTACTTCCACAGTGCAACAGAAAGAATACATGCTGTCAATTTAGAACATGATCATCTGTTTTTGTTTGAATGAGTGCTATAGAAAAGAAATCTTTTTATTTTACAAAAAGCGAAACAAAAGAATAATTCCGTTTTTTTAAAATTTTGCTTATTGTTATTAAATAATTGATTGTAGGGCGTGTGTAAGATTATGGTTATTAATCTAGGTTTGTACGTGTTTGTGTAATTTTGTTCTGTCGACATATGGTTGGTGTGTATTTGAGTCGTTACAGTATACCTTGACACATAACTCACACACACACAAACACACACAGGCGCATTCTTATTTGTGTTCACACTTAACACAATAAGGCGCTATACACACAAAACATATTGAACATATCCACCGGTAAATAAAAGTTGATATTACACCGGGAAAATAATTCTACTCTACTCTACTCAACTCAACTCTAATTTTTTTTAAAAACTTTCTTCTGGAATTATATTCATCAAACTCTAATTCATACAAAACAAAGCCAAAAATATGGATAAAACTGAAATAATAACAAAAACAGATGATACTACCGTAGTCAAACGTAAAAAATCTAGCAAATTCGGACGCTTTCTTTCCCATTTAAAGCGTAAATCACATCATACATCAACTGCAACCACAACATCTCTATCATCAGTTCAACAACCATCAACAGCAAGTGTTTCTTCAATAAATACACATCATACACATGGTTGTTCAACATTTTCAAATTGGTTTAATAAAAACAAAGAGAATGTTCATGATAAAAGATCTACAGTTAAACATAAAAAGTATAAAGAAGTTCAAGGAACTGTTATGGTAAGTTGTTTTTTTTGTTTTGTATCTAGCGTTTATTCAGTGTGTCAATGTTTAATTTGAATATGGGTTCACTTTGTTGTTTACTGTATGTATATAATAGTCAGTTTAAGTTATTTAATATTTTTGCATTGTGATATGTCATTATAGAGACTTTCAAAATAATATTGATTTTCCTGTTGCAAGATAGTGACTAGCAGTGGAATCCAGTCAGAATAAACGTATTTCATCCTATTTGGTTGGGACTCGTCAGCCAGTGAATCAGTAATGGTGTTCCCACTTGGGCTCGAATCCAGTACGCGTCGTACCCATTAACAGAAAGATCCAAATCAGAAGTGATACGTGTCACACAAGAGGTGGCTTTCGTGACCCAAGTCGTCTAGTAAATAACGCTTTGGCTTTTGAAACGATGAGTACTGGGTTCGAGCCTTCAGTGGGAACAGCATCACTGACTTACTGGGGAATGCAGATGCATCCAGATGACGAGTCCCACTCAAATAAGATGAAATGCTCATCCTGGCTGGATTCCACTGCTAATCACCTTCCAAGACATGAAACCGTAACTTCTGGGGTAAGCTAAATCAAGCGACTGCAAATTCCAGAGGACAACTGCTTGCGGTCGGTTAAACACAGTCTGTTTCAAGTGGTTTTTGGAGTTGTGTTTCCCTTTTGAAGATTTTACTGCTGACTGTCGAAGGATAGCACTCGGGACGTATACTTTTTTGTGACTGAAGTTTTAGGTATCGTCTCAGGCTTACCGGCTGTCTGAAGAAAACAGCATGCTGGTGTTACGTTTCTATTTGAACAGCATGACAAATTCGTATTCAAACCTGCTATCGGCTTATATTATGATAGTAATTTCTTTTAGTCTAACCATTATCAAAACCACCTTTTTGACATAGTAGGAGGTACAGAAACATTGGTTCCAGTCAGCGAGCCAGAATTTCTCAACAAGGTGACAACTGTCGATCGGGATCTTTCATAACATTTGATGCTGACCAAATTTTATTATGTAAGTAGTAACTGAAGATGGAAAATATATGTAGATGAATGGTTGGTTGTTTCTCACCTTAAAGACTGAACATTGACCTGCTCACTATGATATTTAATAGTCATGACCTCGTGATACATGTGTACTTTTTTTAAATCAAAAAAGAACAGCTTTTAACTACTTCCTCTATTGTGATGGTGTGTCAGTGTTTTTATTGATTGTCCTCTGTCTTGATTAAAATTTGCTTCTAGACACGACACTCTGACCAACTGATCACCTGAAAATATTCTCCACACTGAGATGGACATGAAATTCAAATTTAACTGAAAAAATCACAACAATAAAAACCTTTATAATAATATGAAATACATGGTACATACATCATTTTCATATCAGCGCAAAATTTAAACCATAAATATATAATCGATAGCTGGTTGACTGTGTGACCTTGAGGATGCCCCCCAAAAAATCAATCAATCAAAAATTGTCCAATCAGATTATTATGTTGTGGGCATGCATCAGACATAACTTCATGGCTAACAGGGATAGGTGGTCCGTCCTCTTTGATAAATCATTCTCCAGCTTAATATAAGTGTATCATGAGATCTACGCTTGAAATGGCTGAATATTCTTGAGTGATTTGAGAAATCCAGCCAGGTACAAAGGTCTTTAATGGTCTCATTTTTTTTATGCAACTGACTTACTTTCTAATGTAAAAACGATGTATCTTTTGTTTTGCTGTGGTGTAAAACTTAAGGAAAAACTTCAGGTTTTAAAGTGAATTTTACAATTTTTATTTTATTTATGGATAAATTATTAAAATACTAGTGAGTCGCTTTATATTTCTCGTGTGTCGATGTCGGCTGATGCATTACAGTAGTAATCTGCTAAATAACACTGAAACATTGGCCAGTAGTCAGAAGGAAGGGTTTTTAATTAATAACTAAAAATTAAACTTGCGTTTCTTTTATCATTTGTTTATATTAGGTGATTGCATGATTATAGTGGTTCACTGGTAGGAATTCTTGGCATGCATGCATGCATTTAGTTCATTTGATGCACCCCTAGTCCTCGCCTAGATGATAGTGGGGTTAGTAATCCCAACGCGTAAAAAGCACCCGCTTCAAGCCACTCTGGAAACAAGGAATAGGGAAGGAGAATAAAAATTTTTAATATTATTCCCGTGGGCTCCGAGTGGGACATAGGGCATATCTCCATTTTGTCCTATACTCTGCGGTCCTTATTAACTGACTTCATGATTCCCCATAGGCTTTCATCTCCTCCTCCACCCCAGACGATCTCCACATACCTAACTCATCGTTTTCCATTCCGAGTCTGCTCGAGCGATAGCCTGAAGCGTGATGTCGTTCGATGGACTCCTCAGTGTGTGTCCTATATATCTTCATCTCCTATGGCATATTTATTGAGCAATAGGTTATCGGTTGATTCGCGCCCCACCAGATTTTCTTGTTGCTGATTCTGTCTAACCAGCCGTCGGAGGATATTCAATATGGAGCAGGCTGTTGGAAATGCTTTTCGTGACGCGTACACCAAGTTTCTGACTCATACAGAAGACCTGACTGAATTAATATTAGTGCTTACAAAATCCAAATTTTATTCTTTATTCTGAGTGCAACAGAACGGATATTACCATTATATTATTGTTCCCTTTAATTCCTAGAGGAACATAGGGCCTTAACCGCACGTCTCCATTGCATTCGGTTCTCTGCCAACGTTTTCACCCGGCTCCACGTCTGCCCACATGTTTTCATCTCCTCTTCACATGACATCCTCCTCCATGTCACCCTCGAACTGACGACCAACTCGCCGCTTCTCATTCGGGTTCCACTCGAGCGACGGCCTGGCGTGTGATGTCACTTGATGGTGGTTTGTTTTCTCAGAGTATGGAAAGCCAATCCACCTCCATTTATTCTTGCATATTTGTTGGATAACTGATTCTTGTTGGGTTGGTTATCTTTTCTGGCCGGCCATCTGATCTTGAGTAGTATTGAGCGAAGACAGCTGTTGATGAGGGTCTGTAGTTTGTTCGAAGTGCCCTTCATGACGCGGCACGGCACCAAGTCTCTGATCCGTATAGTGAGTAGCACTGACTTCACATTGGAGTTGAAAATCCGGATCTTATTTTTCATGCTGAGCAGTGCTGTTGATCTCCACACAGACTTGAGAGAAATGAAAGCTTGCCTTGCTTTCCCGATCCTCGCTTTGATATCCTCATCAGTTCCTTCCGCCTGTAGTTGAAATGATGCTTCCCAGATAGGTAGGTAGGTAGGTAGAGGGGGTTGCTTCTTTCAGATTTAGCAGAACAGATAGTAATAAATTAATTAAAAATCAATACAATTGCTTTGATGAACACTCCTCACTTGTTTGATTACTGTTCAATTTTTACACACTCTATTAAATATTTATTGAATGAAACCACAAACATTTCGATTAAACAGAACATAATGGAATTGAAATAGGTAAAGAAAGTTAAGTTCCAGTGGTTAATAATTATTTATTCAATTTTATTGATCATCACATTATTAATTATATTTCCCGTGGTAAAGATTATTGATTTTTGGGATTATGTAACTACGTCCTAGTGACAGACCTATTAAATAAGAAAAAAAATCCCAGTATAAACTGTACATTTAATAGTTTACAAACCAATTAACTATAAAGTGTTCAGACTAACCTCATTGTATCACACTAACTTACAAGCCAATATCTAAATGGGAATTTCTGATATATTTTGAAGAGATTTAAAGTTCATTAAAAGTGACGAAATTGCATTGTGATTACATAACAGTTGGGAGAGGATTAACCCTGGTACATATTGATCTTTTTTTTTTCATTTCTTTGCTTTCTGACTGGAACATAGGGTGGCTTTAAGCTTGACCTTTGGATTTTCAGTTAGCCCACTGTTTAACTGTCCTTCTTTGCTGACCTTATTATTGACTAAGTGAGGTTAACGAGGGAGAGTTTGTCAGGAATCGAACTTGGACCGCGTGTGTTGTTGGCGATCATCCTACTATTGAACCATTGACGTACATGCATAATGACTTAGCCTTTTTTATTAATAAGACTTTTGGTCTGAACCCTGTGATGATTATATTGTATTTGAGGGCAACGCTGCTCTAATATCTTGCATATGATGTGAAATATAAATTGATTTTGGTGTATTTGTAATTCTGTGAGCTGGATATTTCAGCCAAGAAGCTTTCATTGTCTTCCTAGACACCATCTTCAATGCTGACTCCATGATAACTTTGAATGTAATTGGTTAGTGTCTGTGGAAGATTTTTTTATCCTCTTGTTAAGTTCTGTTACTAGTATAATAAAGGTTTTCCTATTTCCCAATGAATGAAAATTAAAACGACATTGTTTGCTCTACTGACGTTTCGCTATTCAATGCTAATAGCTTTATCAAAGTATTATTAAACCAGAATTTACAAAGTCTCAGCATATATATATATAACAAAGAGTTAAGAGGTGAGACTGACAAACGATGATCAAATTAGTCAACTTTGTTTTGATACCATAACAGATGTACTATTGCCTTTGTTATTTGGTTTAGTGATCTTCATTGTTATTTTGACTTTCAATATGTCCCCCTTTTAACTTGACCTAAGTCTATTTTCTCACCCCTTAACTCTTTGTTATATATATGCTGAGATTTTGTAAATTCCGGTTTAATAATACTTTGATAAAGCTATTAACAGCATTAAATAGCGAAACGTCAGTAAAAGCGACAATATCGTTTTGTTTCTCCTTCTTTGGGAAATACAAGAAAACCTTTATTATAATGGATATCATATACCCAATGCCCAAATTTTTCATTCTGTTACTATTGATTATTTTGTTGACCTGATACCTGATCTTTTGTCAGTGAAACTTCTTTTTCATCACTTGATTACTCTTCTCTGCGTCAATTAGTGTATCTGTTGGCTGAAAATTCAACTGAGTATCAGAATTCGAGTTTTTTCCTAGCATTCTTGGTGTTTCTTTTGTCTGAGGCTTGTACATTTCTTTAGTTGAGTTGATTTCCATAGTTTTCTATATGCATTTCTGTAAGGGAATGATTATCACTGACTTTTGAAAGCCAACTTTGTCAATTAAATTAGCACAAAATGAACTTAATATTTACCAGTGAATGTTGATATCGAAATAGATCTAACAGGCTCACTTTCATTGCTCAATTAGGATATAAAAATAACAGCAGAAGTTTAATGAGGAGGAAGATATCGAGGCAGATTTCGTTACTAGTTAACGTGACTTAGAAAAGCTCCGGTACAAATAAATTGCGTGAGTAACTGTGACTCACCCACCATGACTCGTACTGAGCAGAAGAATAGAGACTGGAAGTGCTGAACATCTGTTGCGTCTTGTTTTAGTACTTTTTATCATGAGGCATGCAATAACTTCACCGGGGAATGAACCAAGGCGTTCAGGTTATCATTTCTGACCGACAGATCAGATTTTCCGTTAATTCAGAATGTAGCTCCACTGCCTTTCAGTTTCATCAGTTAGCATCTGTCCACTCATCCAACCAGGCAGAAGCTAATAGCGATGATTTTTCATGAGAGAGCAAAGATATCCCTCCTGTAGTAGATTAAGTTTCAGATCTTGGGTTTATATTAGATCCAGTTGATTTCTAATGAATTCGTGACTAGTTAACAAAAGTAACAGAACTGCTGATAACCATGAAATACTAAAAGTACGGGTTTGTAGGGATTTGGTTGATTTGTTACAGGATTTCATCATGAGCTGACATTGGTTAGAGAACCATTGGAAAACCTGGGAGTATTGGACAGCTGTTTTGTCCTAGATTGGGACTCTTCGACGGTACGCACCCGCCGGGGTTCGAGCCCAGGACCTTCTGGTTACAAAGTGAGCTCGTAGACCATTAAGCCGTTAAGCCACCAGAAGTGAGAATTCATGGACCATTTGATGGGGTTCCAGTGGCTTAATGGTCTACGAGCTCGCTAGCCTTGTAACCAGAAGGTCCTGGGTTCGAACCCTAATGGGGTGGGTGAGTACTGATGAAGAGGCCCACGCCGGGACGAAACAGCTGTCCAGTACTCCCAGGTTTTCCAATGGTTCTCTAACCAATTTCAGCTCCTGATGAAATCCTGAATACTAGAAGATTTGGTATGTTGGTCATGATGTACTAATACTACTGACCTGTGGGTTCGCTGCCAGTACTGATCACTGATTACTTCTGACTTCCAGAGCCTACAAAAATGAAGAGAGAGAAGACATACTGGTCCTCGGTGGTGTGACCAATTCGACCTCATTGTACAAAAAGTGTATAATATACAAATTATCATGCATCTTGGAAAGTTAAACTGACAAGTATCCAGTTATATGAGTTACAACTTATGTAGGGCTTCTAGCTTGTCTTATTGCGTTGTGATAAGTATCCTGCTTCGGCCCAAGAGGATTAATTTGTCGCTTCTGGTCTAAGCCGGTTTAAGTCTTTTTTGTTTGCTGCTTTTAGATGCTTCCTATCAGAGCTGTTTTGCCCCAGTTTATGACTCTTCAACTGTATGAATTCAAGTTTATTGAAGAAACAGCTATCTAATACTACCCACTGTCCAATAATAACTCAGAAGAGTTGGCTCATGCTTTGAAGAACAGAGTTTTGTCGATTTCACCAAGGAATCAACTTCCACCTACCTACAGATTTCATTAACCTGTTTGTTAGCACAGTTCACTAACACCATGATTATTGTATAAAATTTCATGGTAGATTGATTTTTTCAAGTTCATAGTATCTTTTTATTGTGGCAGTTAATCCTTTTGTAAAAAACCTTTGCACACTATCACCTTGATAATTTCATTGCTCTGTCATCAGATGAGACATTTTCTTTTCTGAAAATTTGTTATGATCAAATTCATTAGAAACTCTGACTTCTTTATTCGGTAACAGTTAACGTGAAATCCATTGCATTGAGTGATGATTGAAGGTGAGTGATGGGAGGATTCAAAGTGCTAGTCGCGTTTTCATCGACCTGTTCTATGAGACCCAAATGGTATTCAAATGAACTGACAGAATAGTTCTAAAATATTTGATCGCCAAGTGAGAAGTAGACATTTGTAAAAAATTATATTTGTAAAGTCTCAGCGAGATTGAAATGAGTAATTCCAACGTTCCCTGCGTTCGGCAATCTGGTCTGAATTTCTTCAGGGAAATTAATCGAAATTAACATAACAGAGGTTTATATATCGAAAGGAACATTTCTTGTTTTTAAAAACTTTGTCCAATCATGAGTCATTTAACAAGTATCAACAAGTATAATAAACAAAATTGTATGAGCTGTGATCAAAATTTGACCTCGGACATACAAATATTGGTCCACCTTTGTTAAACACTTTAAACAGGGTGTGTATGTGCGTGTGTGTGTGGGTAAACAGTTGTAAAACATTTCTTAACGTCTCCATAAGAAGATATAGACAGTCAGGAGTTTTGACCAAGTATTAATAATTAGTGATACATATCCATTTTATTTATTTATTAATCAGGATTTCCTATGCATCAGCTAACATCACACCTTCATGTCTGTTCACACTGTTAGTATCTAGAATTTTATGATTAGACGAATTTTCAAAATTATGGTGTTTAGGATTAGAGTTTAGTAGAAGCACCCTATCGGACTTATTGCTTTGCCTTCTTTCTGAAGATTGAGCTGCTTTAATCGACCTACTGGAGTTGTCAGGTGACTCGACAGCTACGGATTTAGGATATGCATTTTGTTCCAGACAACGGAGATTGAAAACACGATGATTGTGCCAGTTATACAGTTTCTTTGTTAATTTAATTCGATGGCAAAATAATTCAAATGAACTGTCATCAAGATTTGACCGAATAGTTCTAAAATATTTGGGCGCCAAGTGAGAAGTAGACATTTGTAAAAAATTATATTTGTAAAGTCTCAGCGAGGTTGAAATGAGTAATTCCAACGTTCCCTGCGTTCGGCAATCTGGTCTGAATTTCTTCAGGGAAATTAATCGAAATTAACATAACAGAGGTTTATATATCAAAAGGAACATTTCTTGTTTTTAAAAACTTTGTTCAATCATGAGTCATTCAACAAGTATAATAAACAAAATTTTATGAGCTGTGATCAAAATTTGACCTCGGACTTACAAATATTGGTCTACCTTTGTTAAACACTTTACTCATTTCAATCTCGCTAAGATTTTACAAATATAATTTTTTACAAATGTCTACTTCTCACTTGGCGCCCAAATATTTTAGAACTATTCTGTCAAATCTTGACGACAGTTCATTTGAATTATTTTGCTATCGAATTAAATCAACAACGAAACTGTGTAATTGGTACAGTCATCGTGTTTTCACTCTCCATTGTCTGCAACAGAATGTATATCCTAAATCCGTAGCTGTCGAGTCACCTGACAACTCCAGTAGGTCGAATAAAGCAGCTCGATCTTCAGAAAGAAGACAAAGCAATAAGTCCGACAAAGTGTTTCAACTAAACTCTAATCCTAAACACTATTATTTTGAAAATTCGTCTAATCATAAACATCTAGATACTAACAGTTTGAACAGACATGAAGGTGTGATGTTAGCTGATGCATAGGAAATCCTGATTAATAAATAAATAAAAATGGATATGTATCACTAATTATTAATACTTGTTCAAAATTCTCGACTGTCCATATCTTCTTATGGAGACGTTAAGAAATGTTTTACAACTGTTTACCCACACACACACACACACATACGCACTCTGTTTAAAGTGTTTAACAAAGGTAGACCAATATTTGTAAGTTCGAGGTCAAATTTTGATCACAGTTCATGCAAGTTTATTTATTATACTTGTTGATACTTTTTGAATGACTCATGGTTGGACAAAGTTTTAAAAACAAGGGATGTTCCTTTCGATATATAAACCTCTGTTATGTTAATTTCGATTAATTTCCCTGAAGAAGTTCGGACCAGATTGCCGAACGAAACGTTGGAATTACTCATTTCAATCTCGCTGAGATTTTACAAATATAATTTTTCCAAATGGTATTGTTACTATTATTATTGTTATTATTCACTTCAGTTCCGAGTGGAACATATAACATCAGTAGAACACCTCCATCTTATCCTATTCTCTTCGGTTTTCGTCAGCTGACCCCACGATTTTCCATAAACTTTTATCTCCCTCTCACACGATCTCCATTTCATCTTAGGACAAACACACAACTCGCTGTGTTGGCCATTTGGCTATCACTTAAGGTTATGCTCGGCACGCGATATCATTCAAAGTTCTCCTCAAAATATGTCCGGTCCATCTCAATTTTCTTTGGAATATTTGTTCAGTAAGAGGTTCTTGGTTAGTTCATTCCCAGAGTTTCTTGTCACTAATTCTTTCCGGCCAACTGGCTATCTGATCTTTATAGTAAGGAGCCAGCGAAGGAGGCGGCTGTTGATAAAAGTCTCCAGTAGCCTGTTGGATATGGTTTGTGTGACGGTGGTCACAAGTTTCTGGCCCATATAGAAGAAGTGAATGACTGACTGACTTAACATTGGTGGTGTTTACCCTGATTCTGTTCATTATGCCGAGGCGGATTACAGAATATTTCTAAACTGATTTCAGAGTGACGAAGATATGTCCTGCATTTCCGATTAATGCTGGCTTTCACATCTTCATCTCTACCTCCTTCCTGTAGTTTAAACGATGCTGCACAGTCTGATAAGTGAACGAGGTGACCCAAATGGTAAGTAGATTATGAATTCTCTATAATAATCATGGGTAGTGCCAAGCTGTGCGTACCCCAAATATTCATCAACCTTATTCAACAGCCGTACGACAATGGCACATGTCAAGTGATCCACAACGGAAAACTCAACGAGGCGTCTGGAGTAAACACAGGAATCAGACAAGGGTGCTTATTATCACCAATGATATTCCTAATTGTGGTAGACTGGATTATGCGTCAAACAGTCTGAAACGAGAAGACAGGGATATCCTGGACCGACGTGAACACCCTAGAAGACCCGGATTTCGCGCGTGGATGATTTATGTTTGATGTCACACAAAATCGAAGACTTACAAGCGAGAACCGACAAACCGGTCGAAGAAGCAGCCAGAGAAGACAGGACTCCAGGTGAACATAGACAAGACGGAGGTTATGAAAATAACCAACCAACAAAAACAACAACAACACCAGCAACATCCAGTGCCAATCACCATCAACGGGAAGGATTTGAAAGGGGTTACTTCATTCACTTATCTAGGGAGCATTGTCTCAACTACAGGAGGAGGAACGGACGAGGATTTCAAATCGAGAATCGGGAAGGCGAAAAACACATTCATCAACCTCAAACCAATCTGGAAATCTTCGTCACTCAGCCTGCATCAACAACAAAATTCGGATTTTCAATACAAACGTCAAATCAGTCAGTTCTTCTATACGGATCAGAAACTTAGAGGCGGGTCACAAAGAATATTTATTTCCAACAGGTTGCAGAGCTTTATCAACAACTGTCTTCGTTCTGTACTGAAGATCAGATGGCCGGAAAGAACAAGAACCAACAAGAAACTATGGGAACAAACAAAACAAGAACCAATCGCCCAACAGATGTGCAAGAGAAAGTGGAGATGGATTGGAAACTCGCCGAGGAGACCGCTGGATGACATCGCGCGTCAGGCCAGTGCTCGAGTGGAACCGGGAAGGGAAGCGGCGAGTGGTTCGTCGGTGCAAGGGTGACATGGAGGAGATCGTGCGAAGAGAAAAATTGAAACAGTATGGATATAATAGATGCAGGTGGAAAGTACAGCAGAAGACAGAAGCAAGTGGAGACGTGCAGTTGAAGCCCTATGTTCCACGAGGAACCCAAGGGTACAACAACAACAATGCCAGGCTGTCGTGAGAATGACCGATTTCCTAATGTTTATTTATCATTAAGCTAGTAGTTTAGAGGCCAGTTATATGAATCCTATTGCAGCTTGGATGTTCATTTCACCTTCAGTCATCACATATAAACACCAGTTGTCTTGAAAGTTATCTTACATAATCTTACCATGCACTTCTGAATGTCACTCTAAGATATCAACAACACAAGAAATGAATGATACTAGATAGTTGGAGGCAATCGGCGGACACGAAGCCTTCCACCTAGGTTTCGTGCTAGTTGGGACTCACCACCAGTCACCTGTGACCTTGAAGGAACTCATGTCTCTTTTGAGATTCGAACCCACGTCACCCAATCTCGCCTTCAGTCACAGACGTTACCACTGACCTATTCAGGCTCGCGACTGACCTCCTGTAGCACTGTAGTGGGTACTTTAATTGGACACTAGTCAGTAACTAGTGTGACGAGTCTAGTCCTTTCTTTGGTGCAGACTGAATTCTATCAGTCAGGTGTCAACTAGTACGAAACCTAGGCCAAGCAAGGCTTCCTGCCTGCCGATTGCCTCTAACTATCTAATATCATCAAATCAATGTGTACCATGATGGCGAGCTACCCAATCTGCAACAAAGAAAGGACTAGACACATTACACTAGTTACTAGTGTCCAATCAAAATTTTTTTTATCCTTCATGTTCCCAGTGGAACGTAGGGCTT